CGAGGGTTGCGATCCCGTTACTGGTCAGTAAAAAAGACAAAAAGGAAAAAAATAAAATAAATTTAAAAAATAAAGAATTACAGATCAATTGGAGAAGAACAGATATCTTTTTGATACTGAGTCTTCCAGTCCATGAGTATCTTATGTCTCTCTATTTGCTTTAATGGCTTTCAATAAACTTGTACAATATTTTCCATTACAGATCTCATACATATCTTTATATATTTGCTTCTAAATATCTTCTATGGGTTGTTTCTGTTATAAATTATGTCTTTTTCAATTGCATTTTCTACCCCTTTCTTTGCCGGTGTTTAGAAGTGTCATTGATTTTTGTACTTTAATTTTTATATATAACAGATATCTTGCAATAATTTATCTCTGAATTCTTTGTGGTTTTCTACATAGATAGTCATCATCTACGAAGACTGATGGTTCTGTTCTTCCTTTCCAATCCTTATATCTTTTATTCTGCCTTTTTCTTGCATGAGTGTTCTGGCTACAACCTCCAGTATAATGTTGTGATGATGGTGGACAGAATGTTTTTATTTCTTCACTATTAACTATGATGTTTGCTGAAGTTTGTTTATTTTTCATGTATAGATACTCCTTTTGAGATGGGGAAGTTCCTTTCTAGTCATAGTTTGCTAAGAGCTTTTATCCAGAATGGATGTTGAATTTTATCAAGCATCTTTCTATATCTATTGATACAATCATCTTATTTTTCTCTTTTATTCCCTTAGTATAGTAAATTACATCAGTTGACTTTTCTCATGTTAAGCCAACCTTTCATCCCTATGATAAACTTAACTTGGTCATTTACTGTTGTTACTTACACATGTGCCTATATTTGACTTGCTAACATTTTGTTTAGTAATTTGCTTCTATTTGGTCAGTGAGATTGGCTTGTTATTTTTTTCATATTACCTTGCCAGATTTTTATATCAATATATTGCTAACCTTATAAAATGATTTCAAGAGTGTTTCTTCTCTTTCTTTCCCTTTTTGGGGTTATTAGTGGAAGATTGGAATAACTTTTGCCTTTAAAATTGGGAGGAATTTTTCAGCAAAACTATCTGGGTCTGTTATTTCCTTTATTGGAAGATTT